AAATCACATCGACTTTACCTCAATCTCAAGAAAATGGAGACGCAGTCTACTTGACACAAGGTCAAGAAGAGGAGCAGATGTAGGTTCAGACCACTCACTACCTAGTGCAAGGAACTTTCCAAATCAAGTTGAAAGCCTTCAAGGAAGCTGGTGATAGACCACAGTTCAAGTTCAACACTCGGAAACTGAAGGATGAAACTACAAAGGAAATCTTCACGTCAGCCAGCCATGAAGACAAAATGGGAGATATCGAGGAACATCCCTGAAGAAACCTGTGTGGAAGAACACTGGAAGTCTTCGAAAGAGATGTGGAAAGAAACCTGCATAACCGCATTAGGAAGTAAGAAGAAAGAAGACAAGGAAGGAATGGACCTCGACGAATACCTGGAAGCTGATAGAGGAGGGAGAGGAGGATGGTGAAACAGAAGATAAACCAGTGCAAGGATGCTCAACGACAAGCGGTACTGAGTACAATGTAAAAAACACTACACTGGACAAAGTGAAGAAGAGTGCACAGAAAGACAAAAGACACTTCTACGAAACACTGGCAAGTGAAGCAGAACAGGCTGCTGGTTGGAGAGACGTGACAACATTGTATCAAATAACCAGGTTACTATCTGGCAGGGAAGAGATCAACGCAGACGAAACTAATAAAACATGATGACGGAAATTTAATTACGAAAGAAGAGAAACAAAGGAAACAATGGGCTGACCACTTCAAGAAGCTCTTGAATCGACCACCACCACCACCACCTGCACTTCGTCCAGAAATACCACCTACAGCCCAGCCACTGAACTACAAGTGAACATAAATCCTCCAACAAAACTGGAAGTCCTGAACGCCATAAAGCTACCGAAATGTGGGAAAGCAGCAGGACCAGATAGGATCCCACCAGAAGCACTGAAAACAGACGCAGAGACAACAGCGGACATGCTCACACCACACCATTATTGCAGAAGGTGTGGAGTGAAGAGAAGGTACCTGGCTAGTGATTGGAAGAAGGGTTACCTTGTCAAACTCCCAAAGAAGGGAGACCTCAGTGTTTGCAAGAACTAGCGAGGAATCACTCTCTTGTCCACCCCAAGCCAGCAACATCTTAAGCCGTATCATCTTGGAGAGACTAAAGGATGCACTGGATTCAAAACTACGACCGGAACAGGCTGGCTGGATTCAGGAAGTACAAATCATGTGTGGACCAAATTGCCAAGCTACACTACGCATCATCATAGAACAGAGTATAGAATGGCAGTCAACTCTCTACCTCAACTTTATCGACTTTGAGAAGGCCTTTGATAGCGTCAACCGAGAGGTAATTTGGAAACTGCTTCAATACTACGGAATACCACAAACCTTTATCCGCCTCATTCAACAACTATATGAAGACGCCACATGCCAAGTAATTCACAATAGGAAGATCAGTGATGCTTTTGAAGTGAATACAGGTGATAGGAGTAAAACAAGGCTGTCTACTATCACCCATGATATTCCTGATTGTAGTGGACTGGACTGGATCATGCAGCATACAGTGGGGAGCGAGAAGTGGGGGATACGCTTGACCGCGGAAAACAACCTAGATCTGGATTTCGCCGATGAATTGTGTCTAAGGTCACACAAAGTCGAAGATCTACAGGCGAAAACTAACAGGTTGTCAGAAGAGGCAGCGAAAACGGGATTTCAAATGAATATAGAGAAGACCAGAGGTGATGGAGATACCCAACCAACAACAACAACAGCAACAACAAGATCCAATCACCATCAATGGGAGAAACTTAAAGGAAGTAACCTCCTTCACCTATCTAGGAAGCACTATTTCAACTACAGGCGGCACAGACGAGGATGTCAAAGTCAGAATCGGAAAAGCAAGACAGTTTATTAGCCTGAAACCAGTGTGGAGATCTTCTGCACTCAGCCAGCATAAAGCGTGAACAAGATCCGGATTTTCAACACCAACCCAGTCAAGTCACTGCTTCTGTATGATTGAGAGACTTGGCGAGTTACGAAAGAGATTTCCAACAAACTACAGACATTCATCAACAGCCTACGCTGGCTCGTTACTGAAGATCAGATCAGATATCCAGAAAGAATAAGCAACAAGGAGCTCTGGGAACGAACCAACCAAGAACCTATCACCCAACAAATATGTAGAAGGAAGTGGAGATGGATTGGACTGGGCCTACACTGAGAAGGTCGACTGGGACATCACGCGTCAGGCCCTCGAGTGGAATCCCCATCGGAAGCGACGAGTTGGACGTCCAAGGGTGACATGGAGGAGATCGTGCGAGGAGGAAATGAGAGCTTCTAGGTTGTCGTGGAGCCAGGTTCAAAAGATTTCAGAGAGAAGAGTGAAATGGAGACGTGCTACTGAAGCCCTATGTTCCATTAGGAACCCAAGGGGCTAATTATATATATATATATATATATATATATATATATATATATATATATATATATATATATATATATATAATACTCACTCCATCACAACTTTCTTGAAAACGCAGACTTAACATAGGTAAACAATCACACTCTCAATTGCATTCATAATATAAGAATAATTGTGAGCTGTTTACTTTTTAATCAGCTTCCTTTCAAATACTTTTTTCGTCGTACAGGCGAGTAGATAAATACGATATTTTAGAGAATTTACATGTAGTAGTACGTGTACAAAGTTTTATATACTTGATCACGGTCTTGCCTGACGACCAACACGCAGAGAGCTTTGAGTGAAGAGGATCCTCGTCATCTGATGAAATGACTCTTCCCAGATGTTTACATGAGTTAAAATGTTTGCCCACAATAGTTTCAATCAGAAGGTTTTGACGCACACCACTATTTCTGCTGAGTCTTCAAAGTTCTACGAAACATACTTCAGTCCTTTTTCCGCAACCGAGAAAAGAATAAAGGGGGAACAACAGAGGAGAAAAGGCAAGATCTAGGAATTAATAAAAAATAAGAGGAGAGGCTTAGTAATACCAGATTCAGCTTCCTAATATAGAAAGGTGGAAAATAATTTTGGAAAATAGTAAGATATAGGGACAAGGAAAAGTTTCAAGAAAGACACACCAAGGTTATTCACAATTGTAACATTCTCTAACATATAATTATCAAGAGAACAGGAATTATGGGATTTAAGCAGTTTACATAGGTTATGTTCGCATTTGAAACTGAAGTCCATAGTCTGACATTTCGAAGAATTAAGAGCCAGACCATTCACAGAGGACCATCACCTAACAGTAGGTAGGAAAATGTTCAGTTAGGAACAATCTGCTGAAGAGAAGACAGGTTTGAAAACTGTCAGATCATCAGCAACTGATAAAATCGATACCAGCTGAAGATAAAGTCATATAAAAAGAAAGAGAAGACTGGGAGAAAGTACGGTATCTTGAGGAACACTAGCCTCAGTAAGTAATGAGGTGGAGTGGTCCTCTCTGTGAACGGCAGACTGTTCCCTTTCAGAGAAATAGGAATGCAGCCAGCTAATTATCCAGGACCATGTCTGTCCCGACCGGCTTGTCCAGCAAGAGGTCTTAGGATATTGTGGTATAAGACAGTGGTAGCGTCCAGAGAGCTTCTTTTGCTTTTGAATGCAAATTGATTACGATCGCCAAGAACCTTTAATGACAGTTCAAGCACAGGTGTTACTAGCTTCTCCATTATTCTCAAGAACAGAGAATTAACTGAAATCAGATGGAATTTCAAACATACACCTAGAGTCACCGACTTAGGATCCAAGGGCTATCTTTAAATCCTTCCAGGCAGCAGGCATGGTGTTTCCTGAATTTGATCTATCATACATGTTAGTTATTGGATGGCACAATACATCAGCATGCCTCGCAAATGTAAACCTTGACATGCCATCCGTGTCTAAACAATGTGAAGGGTCAAGGGACTTTAGACATCTGAAAGCATCTCTCTCGGATACTTTCAAAAACACTCCTCATTAGAAACGTGCAGGCAAGGTGGGATAAGACATTTGGCCTATGAACGATTTGTTTGAAGCGCCGATGTCAAAACATGCTTCTTTGCGAAGTTGTTTACCACCTGTGAGGTTTTTAAAAGGTTTCCACACGCTGAAACAGCCTTTGCATGACAAAAGTTTTTAGCTACATAATAGACCCAGACGTTTTATTTTATCTTACCTACCTAAGGACTAACATTGGATTTGGCAAAGAGACAGCTAATAATTGTCTTGAACAGACATTGGAATCGGTACAAAGCGAAGGTAACGAGTAAGTGAAGAGACGACCCACATGATAGATGGTCGGAAAGTTTAAGCATTTGTGCATCGACAATTCACGACAGAATAGGTATACACCCGGATACCTATGTAACCGGATCTTGATATTTATTGGTTGGACAGTAGTACGGACAGTTCAGAACAATCAGCAGGTTACTCGAATTCGGCACCATTTTTCGATCGGTATACCGAGATATACGGCAGTGACTTCAGTAGGTTCCTTGGTCTACTATTCTTATTAGGTGAAATTATGTCGCAAGTGAGTCATCACACAAGGTTTTGGTAATTTATCTAGATTGTACAGGTGGGACGTCAAAACTCATCACTCTTGGAATGACTTCCAGTATCCAATATCTTTTTAACGAGCTTGTGTAAACCAGTTGATTTCTTCGCACTCGTTTCTTGGTCTTGCGGAACGGCTCCAGATCTTTGGTGGATTCCGATGCAGTAGGTCCAGCCACTCGTTTGCTATAGCTCTGATTTACAGAACAGGAAGTTAAGTGTTGGTTTGTTTGCCTTGGGCTGTGGTGCAGTTGACTTCTTCAGATGTCGAGTTGAAAGACAGTTGTTAGGACTGGTCGCTAGAGAGGGTTGGGGATAGTGAAGAGAAAACCTAGAAAGTGTTTGACTTAACAAAGTGTGCCAGTTACTTTGAAAACAATAACACATTCACTCCATTACAAAACATTTTATGTTAGCATTACAGAATGCTGACTATTAGTACATTTTATTTTACATAAATTACAGTAATACCAAACATACACTAGCTACACGTAACGCAGTTCCCAACCTTGAGCGGTCCAAAAACCCTCGTCTTTATCCAACATCCAACAACAATCTGCGAGTAGAGGAAACTTTCAGCTTTTGAGCTGTCGCTTCCAAGTTTTGACGCTCGGTTCTTTTATGACTCCATACCTCATAATTTTCTCGTGTAAAACAACAAATATACGGACCATCTGAACCATATGAAGAGGTGTTATCGTGCTTTTTACGACTTTAGCCTCATCCAAAGGAGCCCATTCGCTGTATGGAATGCTGTTAAAATTCGAAAGCAAGCCTCAATTTTAGACGATTATTACTCTCCTATCATTTCCTTACTGCCTTGGGAATTTTCCCAGTCGCTTCAATAACGCTTTTATTGTTGACATTCACTTTCAAGATAACACCTCTATTAAGATCTTTGCCGCACCACCTTTACAGGTTTATTTGCAAATGCTACCCAGCTTTGCCCCTGACCTGAAAACATTCCTATCACCTCGTTTCATTATCGTTATTGTTGTTCAGTCGTAGACTTATTTGGAAGACATTTTCCAATTTCCTCAGCGTTGTTTTAGTTGATTAAGTTTACACACAGAAGCCATTTTAGCAATTTTTATTCGGCTATCCCCTTGAGGTATCATTATTATTTGACGTGACTCTTGCAGCTCAAAACCTTGGGTCACTTGTTGGAAGTGTTCGCACTTGTGGTATGCCTTATGTTTTGAGTTACCCTTTTTCTTCCATATAAGTTAATATGTTCGTACTACAGAAGTATTTATAACTTCTAAGTGCCACGGAAGTACCGCTGAATAACATTTTATTATGTATCGTATTATGATTAAGTAGAACCGCAGTTATAACTTTGGCAGTCGCATTTCGCCCGTTTTAGGTGTATCTTATCTGTGTGTAACTCAGGTAAGCAAAGAGTAATATGCAGAAGGAATGCGGTCATCTTTGTTCATACAGAAACTTTCTCTGGGTTTCTTACTGTCATAACCACAAAAACTATGTATTCATTCTTATGAATAAATCACAGCATCAATATCCATGAAACCTTCTCGAGGGGATCGAGGCTGCCTCCACTATTAACTGATTATTTTCACCTTCTGTTTCGGGATATGTGGACTTCTGCTCTGCATGGCAGAGGCTTCTGCGGCTATCTCTGATAGACGTTCCTAATTGGCTTCCTATGGCATTTTCATCTTCATTCAGTCAAACCTTGTCGTATACAGGTGTTTTTCCTACATAGGCTAGACACTGTATGATAAAACATCTGTGCTTCAATACCGTCTATGGGGTCTACGAATTGGCAGCCCTTAGACTAATGTTCAGACGGTTCGATCGTAGATATTTCGATGAAACTTTTGACAGACGTAATTCGCCTGACCTCCAGTTATAGAATATCGTCTTCCACCTTTTTGCGGAAGGGAAAATTATGCTTAGAATGTATCCAAGGCAGGATGGCAAATAGGCTCGAGGACTAAGGTCTAAAACATAAAAGGAACGACTGTTCGCGCTTGATGTAATTCCTCTGGAATGCAGAAGACTGAGAGTTCTGGTACTGACTCAAAATTTCGGTGCTCCTGAACACCCACTCCGCCTCTTGCTGAGCCTTTGTTGTAGCGCCAACGCTACAGGGCACATGAAAAATACCTTAGAAAGCTAGATTTTAGATGTCGGACGCACCCACTCCCAAAGGGCTGCTATACCTTGGAATGCTGTTCCTGCAAGAGTGAAACAGGCTGTAGCATCACACATTTCTCCAGGATCAGTTGCCCAGCGGCCCGTGTGATTCAACGTTGGTGCTGACCTCCATAGTTTAACTGGACTGGCTGAGCTGAAGGCGCACGGTCAAGCATCCACGTCATTTGGCACGCTGTCGTGTTACGCTGCACTGTTCGTAATCGACCCTCTAGCCGGTTGGTTGGAACGCCTCGGTATCTTGGCACGACACTGCGAAACACCATTCCATTCGACTGCACTGTTGTGTTCTTCTTGGCCTTCCATTCGTGGGCATATAATAAGTACAGATAATTGGTTATTCGCCTCTGGGTCTGTTAAGTTCTCACAAGAGCAATGCTCGGAAGGCCGCTTCATCTGATTTCCTTAAGCGCAGGCTGGAAATGACACCTAAGATGTTGGTGGTAACCTGCTCAGAACTAAAACAATTTTTCCAGTTTAATCGCCACCTTTTGCTCTCTCTCTACTTGAACGCAGGTCAACAACCATAGGTTCTGGTAACCCGCTTATTCTGGACGCTGAAGCCAGTTAAACGAGTGCTTCTCCTAATCCAGCAATAACAGTTTGAGTCATTTGATAGTACTCGTAGGTCAGACATGGTTAATATGACGAAGTAACCAAGCACTTGGTGAAGTGATATGGTTTTGCATGGCATCCACACGAATTCTTATTTCGCAACCAGTGCCAAAGTTAAACTTTTCCACGGCCATGGTGTCATAATGTTTCTCTATGACTTTCAGTATTGAATACCACTTATGCACCTGGTTAATGTAGGGTACTGTTGATCAGCTGTTGGTAGTCATTTAATCTCCACTGACTGAAAATCCTAATGGGTAGCAGCGATTTACGCCCACTGAGTTAGGCCGGATATCATTGCTTGAAAGTGCTGCTCCGAAGGATTCTCAATCTACCTCGCATCTATTTTTCGAGGCGCATGAATTATTTTAAATGCTTGCTAAATCTACCATGTATGCCAACTATTCTTGTGTGCCTTTTCACTGGCGATGGCCTGTGCATAGTAGCACATTCTTAGAAGCTGAGCGAATATTATTACGATGGCGAAGTTATGGGAACTGAATCAAGAATGAGTTCATGCATTCTTCTGCTAGATAACTAGGATATGAGGCATACTTTCTTCACGATTACTTGTTTCGTCAATAGGCATACCATGCAACCCTCCCACCTCGTATAAACAGGATTGCTTCGCACAGCCTATAGCTACGGCACCACCAGTGATACAAGCGCTCCGCACGCTTTCAAATAATCTGCTGTCCATACTGACCGACAGCCCATATACTAATCACAGTAATATGAATACTTGACTTCCTACTAGGCAACAGGTGCCTTATCGTCACCCTGTACTTTTGGAGGTCCTGTGGATCGTCATGCCATCGCCAGCGGAATATACGCGAAAGGACCGCCAAGTATGTACAGAACCCTGACCTTTTTCGAGATACGTGCAAACGATTCTGTACCACTATCTTACTCTCATCTACCGCAAAAAAGAAGAGATCATACTGATATCTGTGACATGCGATTAGCCATGATGAAGATTGCAGGAGCTTGTTGCACTTCTGTCACTGGTGTCACGGAGCTACCCACCGACAATTATTCTTTGTTCAGGGTCCACAGAGTATATAGTAAATGAAGAGAATGTACTGTCTTTATGAAGTATGGCATTGTCGCCGCGCAATTCTCAATTTCTGAACTCGGTTAAATTGATGGCTTCTTGTGGGCTACCGCGAGACTAACTCACTCTACCAGCCTCCTTATAGAATGCATCTAACACCTGCCTTGTTACTCAGACGTTAGCGACAAAATGCTAAAGAGCGTGTTCACTCAAGTGGAGTCACTATCACACGTAACAAACGTCATGTATGGTGACTTTAACTTACCCGATGTAACCTTCAAATGGCAAGCACTCCAAAAGGTTTTAGGAGATATTTACAAGTGCTGTCAAATCATCGGGTCGGCAACAACACATATGAAACCCTGTCAGGTACTGTAGCATTGTGTGTCTGGTTTTCGTTAACGGGATCATGCCCACAAAACACCAAGTAGGTACACGATTCATAGGCACTATGCTTTTCGTTAACACAATATTTACGTCCCAACCTCATCATTTGGAACCCATGCTGCTCTGCAAACGAGTCCCAATTACTTTGCAAAAATGGAGCGGCGAGGACATATTACTGGTCCTTACGAAGCTCTTACCTATCCCTCTCCCCGGCTGAAATAACCCTGGGGATCGGAGATGACCTGGAATGCGCGCAAAAATCCCGAAACGATGAGTTACAGGTTCCTAAAACTGGCTCCAAAGTATACAGTCTAACATCACCTCTAATGAAACGCCTTCAAACAACAAGAGATATACGGTACTTGCGTCATAACTGGGCTGTCTACACCAGCCCAGCCATGATTTGTGAGCTATTTAGCGGCTGGTCTGGGAATTTCAGTTGTGGGACGCGAGCTCTCATCTGTAGCACCCCACTCTCCAACTGAGAGGTCTACTTACACAAATATTGCCGAAGCCATCAAAAGTCTGAGACCTACAAAAGGAATGGGAGTAGACGGCCTAGATTCAATAGCCCTAAGGAGCAGTTGACACGGCCTTTCCTTGATTCCCCTTAGGTCGCCCAACCTTTCGGTGGAATATGGAAAGTACCTAGATGGATGGAAAACTAGCTCCGTAATTCCACACTACAAATCTGGGGACAATGCTACTGTCAGCCTTAGCCCTACCGCGAATAATGGAGAAAGTTGTAAAAGACAGTATGCCTGAACGCCTGCTTGCGCAAGGGTTTATGACAAAGTCTCAGCATGCCTTTATGAAAAAGCAGATCATGCATTCCGTGTCATTTAGACTTCTTCAACCTCAATACCAGCAACCATGAGGCATGAAAAGTAGTCCTTGTACTCAAATGACTAATCACCTATCAGACATGCAACTACATATTGCCAATGCATGTCAAAAGGCACGGACACAACTGTCTGTGGAACAGTGCATCAGCAATACCCAAATGTTGGTGACACCAAAAGCAGATTCCTCGTGCTACAGCATAAGTGAGTCAGCTCATACTGCAGTTACGCTCAAGAAAAGGAGAACTGCGTTCGATGAGACAGCCAACGGTAATAATAATAGAAACATCTCCGCATGCCCAGCATGTAATAAGACCGCAACACTAAGTGTTGCAGCAGATGTAAAGCTTAATGGAAGCCCCACATCTTTTGTGAGACTAACAAGACTTCAACCACCAACTGTGTCATTGTCACTTCTTCCGGAAATCGAAAGCCTGAAGTCCTCTATAGAG